ACCCGCAACATATCATCACCCATTGATTCATCCGCGTCATTGATCAATCTCAGTTAAAACACACACACGCACACACACACACACACATAGAGGAGGTGCTATAAAATGCCCATTTAATTGGCTAGACCACATGCTACAGTAGCAGTGACCTTGAAACTGAAATTACGAGGTAGGCAGACATAATGAAGAAACCAATCAGAATGTGGAATACTAACATGCAGTCATCATGAGTTTGAAAGACTATGACAACGACGACAATGGCAACAGATCAATAATTATGAGCTTATTAACAGAAGTATCATATGACTTTTCATCACAACTGTAGGGCAGTTAATTTCGTTATTAAGGTGAAAGAACAGTTACTAGAACTTGCAAAACCTTTACAGATTATTTTTATAAAATATGTATACCGCACTAATATAGTTGATAAATTTAAGCGTGTTGAAATTAAAAGTACATTATTAAAGTGTTTTTTTGGCAAGGTGATAAATAGATTTAGACAGAGTTTAGTGTAGACTAGGCTATATTGCTGACTGTAATGGAAATGGAAAACGCATTATACTCTAAGTAGATAGATGTACATGTAATTTAACAACTGTTCACCCTTATTTTATATGAATGAAAAATCAATTTTCAATGAATTTCGGAAAAGATAATGAATTAACCACCTGAAGATCGATTAATAACCAGTCGTCATTCAATAATGTAGGAAGTTGAAGAAAGGAAAACGCAATCTAAAATAATAATGGGGATCACAACAATTGTTATTCCATATACAGATCAAAACACATCAAATGATGAGTACTCGATAAATGCAACATCCGAGTTTCCCTCAAGACACCGAAAACATTTTAAACCGCGATTTCGTTCATCTGAAAGACTGAATTGCAGTTTCAAAAATCACAAAGAATGTGTCATATCATCAGATACAATTCACATTGAGTGAAGTTCAAATTGTCTAAGTAGGAATGACAGATTAGGACAGGATCTGACCTGGTTCCAACAACACTGTTCATTCTCCCATGAAGTGACAAAATCAACACAATTGTGATGACCATTTTAATTGTGTAAACACATGCTGTTTTTGTGTAATTTCAGACACTTATCCAATCCAACAATCTGCAGGTGGTTTTGTTTCGGATGTTGATGACTGGCAGTGGAATCCAGGATACACTGTACGTCCTATTTGGGGCTGGGTCAGTTAGTAGATGTACCTGCATCCCTCTGGTGAATGACTGATGTTCTCAATAAGACTCGAAACCAGTTCCTATTGTTTAAAAATACCAATTAAACTAAAAATCTACACATAGTCTGTTATCTTTAAGAATTCATCCGCTTCACAACGTCAAAATTACTTCATGCTGAGGAACTATGATTGGGTTACTGTATTATATCAGCAAGTTGGGATTTTGTGAATTCTCAATGAATATTACTTTGATAAAGGCTATTTAGCAGCAATATCGTCCCGTTCTGCATTCATTGAGAACCAGGGAGTACTATATAGATGTTTCACCCTAGCCAGGACTCTTCCGCAGTACAACCCAGGAC